GGATGGTTTCTTTGTCTTTTAGTTCAGCCACGGGATGAATAACTTACAACCATCAACATCTTCAAACGTGAGCGCCGGTCTCACACGTCTCTCCGCTTTATTTAGTTTTTTTAAGAAAGTGGATATCATATAGTCATATGGTTATGTAAGACCCCCTGGGAACGTCTCTGATTAAACGACTCATCAATCGCTTGGTGTGAAATAACTGCGCCGATCAGAGCTGCGGAACATGCAGAGCAACGGAGCCTTTTGGGAGTGAAGGAATCCTCCACAAAATGTTGTTTCACCATTAAACAGCAGAACCCAAAAGAAAAAAACAAAAAAAATACCTGAAACTCGACCTCTTCCCGTTTACGTGCACAATTACCGCGACACATCACTGTTCTTATTCTAATGTGCTCATCCGCGATGATTATCTACAGTGATGGCAGTTTAATTGGCTTCATTAAAATATGTAATTCCGGGGGGGGGGGGGGGGGGGGACATCGATACAGCCATTAAAAAGGATGAATTGAATTTATTTACGAATAATGCCACTTTCCACTCAAACGACATCTCATTAACTAATTGAGTTTTCTGAAAGTGTTGGAGTCTTTTAATCGCATTGATCTTTGCGATATGCAAAATGAGCGACATTAGGAGGTGTCAGGGTTCATGAGCGGTTCTGCGTCGCCTTTTTGCTTGTTTTTTTTTTTTTTTCTGCAGCACAATTGGGAGGTTGTGCAGACACACATATATATATATATATATATATATATATATATATATATATATATATGGCAGGGGGGGGAAAGATGTCGCGATAAAAAAAAACATAAACAAGATTGATAAAAAGGAAGTGTAAAATAGTTTTAGAAAATATACGTGCATTCCTGCAATGCATGCATCAGTTAACCATTTTTTTTTTTATCGTCTGGATTCTAAGATCATCATTTAGATTTAATCGGCAAATAAATTCCAGCACAAGCAATAACAAAACCAGAGCAATAACAACTAAGAGTGATTAAGTCCTCAGTAAATCACAACCTGAAGTTCAGAAAAGAGAAGAAAAGAAAAATCAGAGCCCGAAAAAATTAAACGTATTTATCAGCTTCTTACCTGTGCGGGAGTCCTCCGTTTCCAGCGCTGTTGTGCACAGCGTGCACCGAGCGCATATCCTCCGCAGCGCTTGTTTGTCCTGTTGGACTCAAAACAAGTGGATCGCACTGGAGTCGGGTGAGTGAGTAAAAGAGGAGGGAGGGGGGGGCGAGTGTTGCCGCCTGCTGCCTCAAGTTTGAGGGGCGTACAGCTGAACCGCACGCCAGGAGCTGTCCGCGGTGCTGGAGAAACAGCCGCACTTAAACAGAGAGAGCGCTGCTGGATTCCTGGAGGGATGCCGATCCTGCCAGGATCAGCGCTTCAAAAGTCACATTTCTTCAGCGCGCTACAAGGCAGTCGGAACAGACGCCCACTGTTTCATCCTGCAAAAACAGGGCGGTCACTTTGTTGCATGCAACTAAAAAAAAAAAAAAAGATATCAGAAATGATCAAATCACATCCGGGATTCTTCTAATCGCGTCTATCTAATTTAGCGCTGGCCAAGTGGAGCACAGTTGTACAAAGTTGGATGTCACCCTATATTGTGCGTGCAAAACCTTCCGTACCCGCCGGTTGTGTTTTCAAATATCATTTGCTGAACAAATGTTGGGGAACCTTAAACCTAACAGCCTTTTTCCACACCTGAACAGAGATTTCCCTCGCGGATGAGCGGCCCTGCAGATACGTCGCCTGTAGCTGGAGGTCGGCGTCAGATTACGAGGAGTATTTCAGAGCGTAACGTCGCTTCCGTGAGGCGCTTTCTGTTTTTAAAACTCTTGGGCTGCTCCTGGAAATGAATGTCTTTCAGAGTCGTCTTCCCTATTTGTGGCGGAGGCGGCGGAGAGGAGGGCAGGAGATGACAACAGTGACTCTGTAGAGACTTATTACCCTCAGTGGCGTGAACGTATTTGTTGACCAGAAGACAAGTTGTGGCAGAGCACAGGCAGAGTGTGAGGTCTCTTCCAGATGGGGCCGCGATGCGCGCTGGGAACTGCGACCTCTTCCCCTTTCCACGGTCTTTAGCGGCCTCGGACATGCAGTGCTGGCTACTCAGTGAACAAAATGATGGAAAAAAAAAAAAAAATCATTTTGTTCTCTTTTTTTTCATGGTTTTGCGCTGTATGTAAAGTATTATTTTTGTTACGTTAGAACCACATGTTTTATTTAATTTAATACGACTTTGTGTGTGGACTAGACTACCACAAATTAGCGAATTGTCGTGACACGGAGTGAAAAGGATGACAAGGTTTCTAAATCTTTACAAATAAAAATCTGAAAAGTGTGGCGTGCTTCAGCTCAGCTGACTGACCGTGTCTTAGTAGATTTGCAGTTGAGATACTTATTTGGAAAAATGTAACCCTGCTGCAAACAGGCGTGTTCCCCGTCTTTAATGATGAAGTTTTAAAAAATAAATTCTCTCCAACAAACCTCTGAGATTTTCTCGCCCTCCATCCTGTCTTGCATCCAGGCTGAGATTAAATCACACAGTGGACTCTAAATACTAAATATGGGAGCTCCTAACTCACATAATTGATTTTAAACCTCAGTCTGGTGTCTTTCTTCATGGAGTTTGGATGCTCCACCCCCCACCCCCCCACTCATATGTGGGTCCTTCTCAGGTGTTTCCAAAAAAAAAAAAAAAAACATGGACGCTAGGCTGGTTAGTCTCGCCTCTTATTGTTGCCTTTTACTGCCAATCCCACACAGATAAGCATCCAACAGATGAATGGATTTTTAATGGTTATGAAATGAATGGCTGATGGAAACAAACACATGCCACACTTTCCAGATTTCTATTCGCAGAAAATGTTGAAAACCATTCACCGTTTCAATCCAAGTCTTAATAATGTGCACGTTGGTCGAACGTTACACACACACATGTATGCGTGTGTCTATAAAGCCCCGTTAATTACACTGAAACTTTTTGGTTGCGATGTTACAAAAAGTGGAAAAAAAAAAAAAAACCAGAAGAGGTGTGAATACTTTTGCCAGGTACAGCACATTAATAACAGACACCGCAGGAGGGCGAAAACCAGCATGCCCGTGAAGCTGCGTGACACCCATGTGAAATTCACGATTAATTAAATCAGCAGCTGACCCGCTGTGTCATCGCTGTCCCTCGTCAACGCCGCTTCTCGGGTTGGCCTCTGGACAGAGGTCGGGGGTGGAGGGATCAAAACGGAAAGCGCAATAGACATGTGGTAAGGGCATCACTCCCTGCAGACTCATCACACCTCTGCAGAAACAGACCAAGTAGACAAAATGGTACAAGTGGTTTGGCTATCAGAGAAACAGCTGAAGTAATGTAATGTTTTCTAACAGTTATTGCTTTTATTTCATCACATTCTTTTTATTAAAACACCAGAGCCTAGGAACACTAGAGAATTACTGATTTCAACCACTTAACAAAACCTTAGTGCTTAGACATGTTAGATGTCAGCATCGGCTGCTTTTACTCTATACACAATCAATTCCAGTAAAGTTTTCAATTTCTCCAACATATTAGTCAATCTTCCTTATATCCCTCCACTGGCAGGATATGACTCACTGTTGAGAAACTTTTATAACTGTGGCTATTAATCACCATGAGAACTAATGAAGCCACACTTTAAAATAACGATCAGCCTAAAAGGATGCCACAAGCCACAACTCGGTAAGTGGATTTTGAACAATCCCATGATTTTAAAAGCAATTAGCGTCTCAATTTTCCATTTATTTTTGTAGCGCCAACTCACAAACAAAAGTCTTCCCAAGGCACTTTGCAAGACAAACAATTCAGATCCAATTATGCGCATCTCCATTTGAGCGAAAAGCAACTTAAACTGATGCATGTTGTCACAACCCAGCCGTACAGTCAGATTCATGCAGCCCAACTTAATGCTGTTCATTAAAATCTATCGTTTAATACCAACTCGTCCATCTTAGGAAGTCCAGCCGATGACTTTGGCGTGACTTTGCGGCAATCGCTCTTTCTGAGCAAGCATGTGGTGACGGTGGAGAGAAACATTTCCCTTTTAGCACGAAGAAACTTCAACTAGAACCAGATTTATGGAGGTTGAGATTACACCAAGCAGTCAAAGAGCTATGAGATACATTTTTACCATCTTATAAATAAATATATATCAAAAACTGAACTTGTAAAAAAAATCTCTCACATCACATCAGAAGTTTAGGGTAATTGAAATGAATATCTAAAACAGATAAAGCTCTGGACTGCATTTGTTTCAATGTCAGGCCATGAAGTATAATGTAGTTTTTTTTTTTTTTTTTTATTGTATGTAAATATCTTATTTTAACATTTCAGACAATGACAGACCATAAGCTAGACAGTGGCATCCTATAACAATATATTTCACTTTACGTTATTGTGCTTTCTAAAGCTTTTCAAACTCTTTGCATCAAACGCTTCAAGCATGCCGCAGGGATTCGCTCCCCAATGATCGCTTTAAAACAGCATAACTTTCACTAATAAATCATTAGCGCCGATTCCAGCAGCTGTCATTTTGTTCCCACCTGAACTCAAAGTGAAGCAGCAAAACCAGCAATCATTCCATTGTGAAACCTTGAAAACAGTTGCCCTCCAAGAGCAAGCTTAATAACTTATGAGCAGCTCGCTCGCTCGCTCGCTCGCTCGTCGCCGGCCTGCGAAAAGCGCCGCCACCCACTCTCCTCTACGTCTTCTGTAACTGTTGGGAAGAAGCAGATAAACAAGAACGTCCTCAGACCGCGAGATAAAATTATGTGCCTGTTGCAGTGGAAATCAAATTGCACTTCAGGAAGAAGCACCTTGAGATCGAGGCGCGTTCAAACCATCGTCTCTGAAGGGGGAAAGAAAAAAAAAAAAAAAAAACCAAAACAAAACAAAAAAAACTGCGCCAGCGTCTTATTTTGCACGTGTGAGAGGCAGACTAATTATTCTTAGGTACACTTCCCATTTGAAAATTTTATTCAGCACAGAGGGACACAAACATGGCAATACATTTCTACATTTCCAGCACAATGTCAACTTACAAAGAGAACACAAATAGTTTCTGATAGACGAATTCTGGCTACATGGGGAAGAAAATAAACTGGGTGAAGAGTGGGTTAATGGTGTAAATTTGGAAAGACAGATCGCATTAAAAAGTGATTATGACAGAATAACCTGTACACTCTCGAAGGAAAAGCTGGTGATGTCAATAAGTTGTTTTATTGCCTCCGATTTTACTTTTTCTTTTTTTATTTTAAAATAAATAATTTATCGGGTCTAATCGCTAAAACAGCAGCAGTTTATGTATTTAACAACCCAATTACTCCTAATTTTAGGTGTTTTAAATCGAACCTTCCAAAAATCGGACCCACAGTTACATCGTATCCTGGTTGAAATGAAAACACCTGTCACTGCGCATCGTGTCCTGGCAGCATCCAAACACACAACCAGGGCCCCTAAAATCTGAGATTACGTTAAAGAGTACAGGCTTTGTTAGAAGGTGCAGGAAAAAGGTGGTGTTGGTCATGGCATGAACAGCTTTAGATCCACCAACAACTCTGACAGATAACCAACCACAGCACAGCTGAGAAACACTCTAGCATGCCAGTCAAACGGCCACGTCCCTTCTTTCTCCAGCGTCCTTCCTACTCCTCTCCGTCTCCCAGGAACTTCCTCTTTGCAACCAATCCAGCCTCTTCTCCAGCACCTTCTTTTTCTTCTTCTCCTTCCTCCTCTTCTTCTTCTTCTTCGGGGGTTCCTTTTTCCTTCTCGCCCTCCATTCCGTCTCCCTCCTCCAGCTCCTCCTGGTCCATGTCAAGTTCTTCGAAGGATGAGCCGCTGCCCACAGAGTCGTTTGAACCTCTGTCGCTGTGCTCCCTGTGCTTATTGTCTTCATTTGAGTCCATTATGTCTCTGAGGGGCAGAGAGGAGGCCAGAGAGGCAGCGGTGGAAGCTGCCAGCGAAGTCTCCCTGCTGTCCCAAGGCACGCCGCCGCTCACTGAGCTCACGTCGCTGTGGGAATCTGCACCTGCAGCAATTAAAAAAAAAAATTAAGAGGGATTCAACCGGGACTGTGTTAAAAAGTCGTGTGCAAATCTGATTAAAAAAAACTTAAATGAGAAGTGGCAAAGCATGTCAGTTTCAGGCTTAGTGAACCAGGAAATGTGTGCCAATTTATCAAGAAGATGCTGTGATAGGTTAAATATGGACCTTTGGCCAAAGATAACATGTCAACAATTTATTAGAATACCAACGTGAGAGTCTATTACCATGATATTTGGACTGGATGATTTACATCTGACTAAAGCCACATCTACAGTAGGAAGGTGATTCTGTACAGATATTAAATGAATCCATACAATATTGTCATTCATGTATTTTATAAATAACGGTGTTGGAAAAGTAAAGCCACGTAGGAAGAGTTTTACAAGGGCATTTATGTTCCTTGAATATGTTTTATATTTTGTCTTGCTATGAAAAAAATGTTACCTACATTGTATTTTATGAGAGATTAGCACAACAACAGCGCATAACCTTTAAGGAGATGGAAAAGAATACACAGTTTTTGAACCAGAAATCTAAAAAGTGTGGAGTGCATTTGTATTACACCAATGCTCCTTAGTAAAGTCTAGTTTAACTAATCCTCTTCAGTAGTCACCTGTCACCTAAAAATGTGTGTAATTTAATTTCAATATGTGTAATTCAGTTACACACAGACGGTGATATTCAGTTAGCAAACAGCATCATGAAGACGAAGGAACACGGCAGACAGGTCAGAAAAAAAAAAAAAATCTGTGGAGAAGTCTGGACATCTCATCGGTCATCCAAAGGTGAGACAAACTCCACTGTAAGTAAAGAAAAGGCTGTCCACCTAAAGTGAATAGGCAGGGAAGAAGTAAACTAGTCAGAGAAACAGCCAAAAGGCCCACGCTAACCCTGGAGGAGCTGCAGAGATCCACAACTCAGGTGAGGGAACAAGATGTCCAAAGGAAAATTATTAGTACTCAACAAGTCTGACCTTCATTAAAGAAGGTCTCTGTGAAGATAGCTTTTTGAGTTCCTGTAAACAGTTTGCTACAAGGCATGCAGAACATACAAAATAACACAATAACAAATAAAAAAGGAACCACAAAACAATTTGAGTGGCAAAAAGTAAGCTGCAATGGAATGTGGTTTAATTAAATCCCTTTCAGAATCCGTGGCGTGCTTTGAAAATCCATGTCTACAAACTGTTCCAGTTTAACAAAAATGAGCTTGAGCAAATTTACAAGAAAAGTTGACAAACATTTAAGTCGTTGGATGTACAAAGTTGGTGGAGACAAAACTCAAGAGTCCTGGAGCCGACTCATGGATGACGAAAAGAATGTGCGTCACACTTTGAAGAAAAAGGATAATTTTCCTTTCACTTCACAACTGCATGCATTTTAATAGTCTATCAAACAAATTCTGAAATGTGTAGTCGTTATGAAATGATTCAAGGGGAATACTTTTTTTTTTTTGCAATACATTGTAGAGTAGAGAAATGTGACCGATTAATTGAGTTCAAATATAACAGACGGTAATATTCAAAGAATTAAAAAAAACAATCAGTTTCCTATAAAGCGCCCCAGATGACTCATCAACATGTGTTTCACACTTTTCAACCTTATTGTGCATTTCATTCTCAGCAGCTGGCTGCAGCTGGGCTAGTCTTCTGCAATGTTACTTGTCTGTAATCATAGAGTGCATCCATTTGCTTAATAGATGGAGATTTCCTCACCGACATGATCAGTGTGCTAATGCTTTCCGTCTAAGACTATATTTTTCTAGCCTTTGATCTACGTTTCACTGTGAGCCAATTGCCATTCATTACCCCGAGCTAAGGGTCCTTTTTCATCTAAGCGATTGGTCCAGATTGTTGTTGCTGGAATGTGCACAGCTGGAAAACTGCAAAAAAAAAAAAAAAGTTGACAGGATGACGAATTAAACGGAAGTTAGAAATAAATTGTGTCCAACAAATCCGCGGCCTGGAGAGAGATGGACGGAGCAAAGTTGGCAAATGAAAAACATGAGGACTTTCTAAAATTTGCAAATGAAAGCAGAGTAGGTGTCAGCTCTGGGAAATGTAAGGAGCACGTCATACCTGCCACCTACACAACAAATATCACTGGGCGATCGCACCTCCGGCGGTCTCTTTGAGTAGAGAGACGGGTGGAAGAAAAGAGTGAAGGAGGCCAGAAAAAAGCCGAGTTTCCAATCACTGTAATACAAATCTGGTCAAGCTGATAATATATGGTTTTCAATTAATTTTGTTGCAGCTAGGTGCATCGTTGTTTTAATGCATCATGCTCTCTCTCATCCATGCCTGGCGTGTTTTGCCAGTAAAGTGACCGGCCTTGACGCTAAACGCGTTTGACAGATAAATCCTGACTTGGCTTTGCTCTCCCACCGGACGCCATGCTCATCCCCTTTCTTTCTGCCTTTACACTCCCAATAAGCACCGGGCGCACGTCCGCGTGGGCTGGCACTGAAATGCGTCATTAGGGACAGAAATACAATAAACACGGAGTCTCCGAGATGCTCCCTAAGGTCAGCCTTTTCTTTTTATTATTATATTTTTTGAATCTCCACCAATTTAATTATCACGTCCAAGCAGATGCGATCCCGCTTGCAGTGTACATGTGAACTTCATATAAGTTATTTATAACATCTGGTGATTGGGTTGCAAGTCCAGACAAAACCTACAAGATGAGTTCTGGGAGGAAAAGGAATTTTGTTTGGTTGTGGTCCTGGTTTGAGTCGCATGTGGATGGGTCGTGTTTGAATTCCAATAACATGGAAGCTCCACTGAGACTCATTTCATATGATAACACTGAACTGCAAGGAATTATATGGGTTTTAATTGGCCTTTTTAGGGTAATTTCTTCTGAGCAGCACCTTCGAGGAAGAGGCTTAGCATGCCGGACAACTTCCACACTTTCAAAATCAGCATGCAAGCCTTAAAATTTGCGTAGCGGTAGAAGCCAGCGGAAGTCTTTTGGAAAACAGTTGCCTAAATGAATTACTAAATTGGACCCATTGGGATTATTAGCAGCGGATGAAGGTCTTGGTCTTCAAACTGCTGAAACAGAGGAGAGGTAATTAGTTACAGAAACAGCTGATACACGGTGAAAGAGCTTGCAGAATTGGAGCGGATGGTGAGACAAGTCCGACATGAGATGTATAAACAGAAATTAGGAAGTGCTAAATGAGATGGACCATCTTGTTTATGAACACCGACCTAGTGGCAGGAGCGTATTGGGATCCTCATTTAGGGATTTCTGGGTAAAACACTGTTTGTCTAAATCTGCTAATGTGTCCTATGAGGTCTACCTGGCAGCCTGGCAATAAACCAATTATGAAGAAAGCGATGAATTGCTTTATTGTTAAAGGTTTTAAAAGGTGTTTTTTTTTTTTTAAATCACCAACATTTTGCATCACACCACAACCGTGGTTTAAAGTTATTTCAATGAGATACTAGAGAAAATGTTAGGGTGACTGCAGTTTTTTTTTTACGATGGTATGGAGCATAAAGAAACACAATACTGCCCCCTCCAGCACCTGTTGCTGCTCGGTCAGCTGGCTGAAAAATGACCCCCAGTTTTTCTTTGACGCAACATCATCATATTGCAATATTGCAATATTTTTACTCAAGACAAGCACACTATGAGAATTAAAAAACTCAGTCACACAAAAAAGTTTGGAAAAGTTTTAATCCAGCACATAAAGTGCCACTAACTTATGTTGTGTAAAATGTCTTTTTTAACATCACTTATTTGCTCCTCCGGGTCCAAGAACCTTTATTTATACCCGTAGAGAAATTTGTTCTGCTGCAAGAAACCGCATGGAGCTCAACACCCAACTACATAACAATCCCACCATATCAAGAAAAATGTGACAAGTAATAATCATATTTTAAAGAAACAAATGTAGAGTCGATGGCGGTGTCATCCAGAATCTAAACCTGTGAAGTTTCACTGAAATATTCTCCAAACCGAGTGTGAGACGAGTCATTTCTAACATCTAAATTCAAGCACTTTCAATTCCCAGGCGCTGGAACATGTCATCTTAGAAAAGTCCTAAAGCAATGAAATAGATTACATACGTTTGGGAACTGAGCTTTGGGTCTGGAAAATACTTTTGTTTTAATGAAATATGAGTTACTAATCTTTGTCGTGATTTTAGCAGTTAAAATCCCAGAATGACCCAAAAAATGTAATCCAAAGCAACATGGGGAGCAAAGAACCATCATCCGTCAAATGTTGTTGAATGCCTTATATTTGGATGAAGTTATGTATATTTAACCACAAAGAGCCCCGTAGATTATATCTGTGTAACGTCAGTGTGAGCTTTAAAACAACTGGAAGGGATTGCAGAATCATTTGAGTAACAACAGTAGTTTTAACAGAATTCTGCATATTTTTACATCCTATTTTCACCACATTAAAAAAAAAAAATGCTGAACCCATTGACCTCATCAGTGAAAAAGCAGATATAGGCTACTTATGCTAAGTACTACAATTTACACATGGACAGTGAATCTGAATGCTCCAAATTAAAATATTTCATGAAAGTTTCCTTTTGTGCCTTTATTGGTGGTTTTGCTGAAAGTTGATGTTTTTCCACGTAGCATTACCGCAAACTGATACAAAACGTGTTAATTAAATCCCACATTTCTGTTTTTAAAGTTTTGGTTTGTTCTTTAGCTGTGCCAAGCAGCTGATGGTTTGTCCGTTTGATCAGAGGAGCGTAATTTAACTGGCTAAAAGTTAAATTACACCGACTTCAGATTTTGCTAATTGCTTTGGCCGGAATGAATGGAAGGTCACGATATTTGCAGGGAAATTTTTCAAGGTAAATATCTCAAGTAAAAAAATAAATAAATAAATAAAAATCACAATAATTGCATAGGATGTAAGCTTAGTGTCAAAAATAAGTCTGATTCTTACAAGACCATATTTCTTAGGTATCGTGCTACTGCAGTCAAATAAATCTGCAGACTCAGAAGTATGCTTCTGCTGCATGTCAAATTATGCAAACCATAGACACTCATTAAGAAATATGACGGGGGAAATTGCTCTAATAGTGAAAAACTATTTTAAGTTTTATTTTTAGAAATACTGCAACAAGACACTCCTTAACATCTTAAACATTTTAATAATATATATCATTGCTAAAACTCCACCTAATATGCAACAGCCCCTCATCAAACCACATTACTTTTTTTCCCCTGCATTAATCTCAGGAATTCACGTTGGCTCATGTAACCTTTCAAAAAGGATGAACCAGGATTTTTCTGTCATATCATGCCTGCTTGAACACTTAACAGAACGAAAAGGTTTTACATTTCTTTCTGTCTTGATAAAGCTGGATGCACCAGCGACATCTGTATAGTCTTGGCATCGATTCTGGCTCTGCTCTGAGAAACCGCTGCTCTATTATTTTCCCGAAAATGTCGCTCTTGGTTACTGTGTGTATTTTTATGCACAGGACTCTCGGAGCCCATGGACTAGAACAGAATTTACTCACACTGAAACAAATTGTTCCGTTGTTAGAACAAAACCAGGCAAAGGGGTGGAAGCCGGGGCCAAAACCGTTTCCACAGTCCCTGCCAGGAATCCAGTACGGCTCCCTGGAAAACCACCGGAAAATCTCACTGAACCAGAAGGTTACCTCTGGTTTGAGGTGGTCTTACAGAGAAACACACAGCGCTTAAGAATGAGGTTTAAAAAAAAACAAACAAAAAAAAAATTTCAGACGATATAGGATCTATTTGCTTTGTTCAGTATTTGAGTGGAAACTTCAAAGGGTGACAAACAGCCTATGCTGTGATAAAGAGGTAATAAAAAACACTATTAACTGCAAAGCTGGACACAAATAGTGTTATCCTGCATGGGACCGGCAGTGTAAAAGCAGCTATTGTGTTAAACAGTGCCTCATACACAGTTATATTCAATTCTATTAAATATACAGAATTTAATATTCTGTACAGCTGCATGTACAACACTACATAGCTGGGAATGAGAAATTGTAAAAAGCGTCAAAGGACCTATAAACCACATAATTACTAGAGAGACAAAGTGCAAAAAGTCCCCAGTCGGGGTCCCATTGCTTTGATAAAGTGTGTATATTTTTTATAGACATTGTTGTTGTTTCTGTTCCCACTAAAACTCCTTCAGTTCCTCGTCTGCGAACAGAACTTTCAGAAAACGTTGCTGTCCCGCTTTCATAAAGTCAGCGCCTCGATTTCGGAAGCATCGCCAACAAAGATGTTGTGCTAAGCTGCTCTCTTTTGCTTTCCTGGTGTCTGTCCCGCACACGCACGCACACACGCACGCGCACCCACGCACACACACACACACACACACACACACACACACACACACACACAGAGCGGTGTGTGTGTGACCTGCAGGTGAGCGGAGACACGCAGAGCGGGGAGCTGCAGTGGGCCGTACACAGAGTTTCACTGCTCCTGAATTATTGTTGAAAACCCCGAAAATAATGTTCACGGCCTGCAATGCTACTTTGCAAGTCGTGTTTTTGAAGGCCGAGGCTTTGACTTTTAAAAACCGCTGGTGTAAAACACATGTTGTGGCTGGATAACAACCTGACTGGAGGTTAAGCTTAGGTCAGGTGAAATTGGATCATTTTGATGTTACAGTGTTTTCGTTGAGATTTTACAGCCTTAACAATAGCTCTACATAACTGTTTGCAGTTTATGTCTCATATGCTCACGGGCCTCTGACGACTTGCTCGTTTCCTCTTCTTGCTTGAAATGACAACTCTTTCCACTTGGCTTCCAAATAACTTCTACCTGGGTCATCCCACTCCAGAGGACTGATTGAGAAAGCAACCATTAGTGTTCCTGCTCAGTGATTATGTACGTCTGTTGAAATCACAACTAGAGATGGGAACTGACTCAGAAAGTTGAGTGATATTTACAAAGACATGCTGAGTTTTAAGTCAATATTTCCAAGTCTGGGGTATAAATTTAGGATGAGCACTAAGCAGATGAAATGCAGAAAGTACTTTGGCTTAAAAATTCAAGCTACAAAGTCTACATGGCCCCTACTGACTCAAAGATAGCATCAACATGCATGGGCTCAGCAGCTATTGTATAAAATATTGTTTTTGAGCAATACTACATTCACTTTTAATATGCTTGCTTGTTAAGAATACCAAGTAAGGAGTTTAAGTTTGTGAAATTAAAGAGAACGTTCTCCTTTGAATAAGATACACATTTTGTCATGTTTGTTTTCCATTAGAGTTGAGGAATTACAACGACTTTCACAGAATGTCATAAAATAACATTTGAGACAGTTTAAGAAACAAAAATATGCTTAAAATCACACAAAAAACAAGAAATAAATAAAAGTCTAATACAAGCACATGTTGATATGAGACTGTTGATGTGTCCCCTACGTACCCTGAGGAAAACTTCAAATATTATTTTTTTTGAACAATGGCTTTCTTCTCGTCTCCCAAACCAGATGTTTGGAGTGAGTGACTGATGGTTGTTAAGTCTCAGACCTGAGCTCTGTATCACGGTTCAGAGTGACCATGAGTCTCTGATTAACGCTCTCCTTCTTTAAGCTTAGGCGGACTGGCATGTCTTCACAGCTTAAACATCCATACAGCTTTCTCCCTGACCAGTCTGCTGTTGTGTTCCTTGTTCTTCATCGGGTCACTGATGTTCTCTAAAAGCCTCACAGAAATGCTGCAACGTCCGAGAAGAAATCCGAGGATAGTTGGTCGTGTTGGATTATCTGCTCAGGGCTGAAACAAATGTACACCACACTTTTCAGAAAAAAAAGCAAACCCCTGCTTCTTTCTGTTGATCAATCAAATGAAATCCCAATAAAACACATCCAGGTGTGTTAGAGTGATGCCACAAAATGCGAAAGGGTTCAAAGAGAGTAAATACTTTTGGCTCTGCAAAGATTTGCCGCCAGCTAAATTTGTCTTGAGAATGTTATTTTAACACAGTCGCTGTAGATGTCACTGCATTTTAGTTGATCCCAACATCATTTTCTTTCTCTTGTAATCTGTACATCGGAAAAATCAATACTGCCGTGTCATGAGTTTCCAAGACGAGCGAGACGGCAGCAGAGAGGACGCGGCATGCGGAGACTCCTAGTTGTAATGACAGAACATTTACACACTCATGTCACCTGCTCTCAGTGATCAGGGGATGAGGTAGAGTCGAAGCAGCATCAGACAAAATAAAAGCTGGCACATCTATCTTCTTCTTTAGCTTCTTAAGAACACCAGAAACCCGTTTCAGATCGATTTACTTTACTGTGATCATATGGCGTCACAAGCCTGTTTAGGTGTTTTAAAGAGTAAAGTAGCTCCAGGGTCTCAGTGATGGGTGTGTTTGGGTGTTGTCAGAAGCTCTGATACACACCTGTGAAAAGTTAAACCACTGGAGGTCAGCAAAAACAAGACTTTCACAGTGAGTTAACGCTCTCCTTTATCCTTCTACCCATCAGTTTTGAACATTTCTTCCAGTCAGACACATAAAGTGGTATTTTTCTATGTTTCGTTTCCCCCTGTACAATAACTGACAGCGTCTGGAGATGCGTGACGGTTTACCTGTAATGTCAGTTCCTCTGTCCTCATCAGAGTCCTCGTCTTTCCCGTCTGTTTTGACCTGCTCTGTGAGTTCTGGCACATAGAAGTCCATCTGGCGACACAGAGGAGCCATGTAGTTGATGACATCCGAGTGGAAAATCTCAATAAATGGGAAGGCACATAGTTTCCTTTCCTAAAAGGAAAAAAAAAAAAAAAAGAGGAAGAAATCACATGTATGATTCCGTCTCAAAATCTTCGCAAAGATCGTCTCGGTAATTTTATTTAAAATTTTTAAACCGTTGCGATGACAACATCCCTGATTTTTAGGGTGGGTTTTATAACTCGGTGTCTGTCTGAGTAAAATTTTGTATGCAAGTATGATTTCTGAAAAGCATTGAGGTGTAGAAATGATTGACAGTGCACAGATCATTAGCTCAAAGGAATGCCTCAAGTTCACAAACCGAGGCAGAGACACAACCATGAAGTAAGAGAGTTTTATCATTCAGGACGGAACAGAAATCCTCCATCGTTACCAGATATAACTAACCGACCCTCACGGGTTCCATACTCAATAAGCAGGTAAAGAGGAAACACACACTGCTAGCCCGATGCACATAATTTACCGACCACCAAGAAATGCACAATGTAAAGCATGAGAAAGAAATGACCTGTAGACATTGTAAAAACAATGTCAAAGAGGAAGACTCCAGCCAAGATCTGGAAGGCGTAATTAGCAGAAGCGCATCACGGTGGGAAGTTTATAAGATTATTTCCACATCATTTTCAGCCTTCTGCAGTGAGGAAATTAATTCACAACTGCAAAGCATTCAACTCAATTATTTAAAATGTCCAGGAGTGGGAGACCTAGTAAGTTCAACCAGAGGTCAGACCATGCAACACTCAGGGAAAAAAAAAAAAAAAGAGCTGCATCTTGAATTAGCTATAAAGATGTTGTCAAATTGTTTCTGATCGTGTTTTATGCTGGCAAACCAGATATAATGGAATTTTATGAAATGCATTTTACTAAACAGTAAGTCCTCTCACTCCTCTAAGGTATGTGATTTGTTTATCATGGGCCCTTTTTATACAATTTTGACGCAAATTGGTGAAAAATTTACAGTCTGCTACGGTGCAGAGCCAAAATGAGATTCTTTTGCCAGAGAACCAATCTCATTTCATTCTTATTCCACATTCGGTGATCGGCTGTTCATTTCGGGGTGAAAGTTCAAATCTCTACTCTCTTCTTCAGCTCTACGGTTTCTGTACGGAATCAAAACTAGCCCTAACGTAATTATTTCATGCCTTCCATAATGTTCAAACAGTATTACAGAGGAGTGAGCTCTCTGATAGGCCATCAATGGACAGCGGCAAGAGGCAGGACGATCTGAACTGTGATCTGTAACAAAGTGACAGATTACTCTGTGGTGGTCAAAGACTGAATGCTAAACAATGGATTTACACCTAGGAAAGGATGTCAAATGTTTTAAGATAAAATTTAGCCTCCCTTTCATCATAAACTGACATTTCTCATTGTAAGTACATCCTTAAAATGCGTGATATTTTATTCTTTCAACTATGGTTACTGTGCGAACTCATGAGTCGTCATCGTCCTCCTAGAGTAGACACCAGTCGGTATGGTGATCTCAGTGTCTGGGAAAGGCCAGATTTTAAATTACGCACAACTGAGACCAAGAGAGTCACATAAAATAGAGTCGAAAGTACATTTTAAGTTAAGGCTCATTTTAATTCAGTTCAATTTATTTATGTAGCACAAATGGCAACATGTTTGCTCACTGCTGCTGCCGCTAGTCTGGAGGAGTTGTGGGGAGGGTGGGCGGGGGGTGCGGGGTGCTCTGGGAAGCAGACTGCAGATTCAAGGAGCAGCTTTGTGAGGAGCAAGAGTTTTTGCATTCTGAATGGCTGCTACTGGAAATTAAATGATTTCTCATGCATGCATGAAAGAATCAAAGCAGCCCTCCTGGTATGCTTTTGATGAGGAGTGAGTGATTGTAGCATGATATAAAGCTCAAAAAATTATTTTACATAATGCCACCCCCCCCCCTTTAAAGAGGGCGGTGGATGGCATTGGATGGCAATGGGGAAATTTACTTTTACTTTTTTGTTCGTTTTACTATGTATTCTTTTCATACTCATCTGCTAAGTGTAGCTTAAGATATTTTAAGTCAGGTCATTTTATTGAAGTAAATGTACATACTTCAGCTGTTGCCATGGCTTATATGACAAGTGTGTTTATTCTCAGGAGATCTGGGGAGGAAAAAAAAAAAGGCTAAAAGCAGCCGCATAGCTCAATTTCCTGTGGTTGAGCTGGTCTTGGTGGATTGATAGTTTTTAATCTACTCTTTGCAAAAGATTTTGTAGGACATGATATGAATCACCTGGTTGCTGCTGAGCCTGAAGCTCTGAGTCTGCCAATGCAAATCAGCACTGATCTCCTTGAACTTGGTTAGATAATGAGCAGGAACCTGAGAAAAAAGCAACCTGGTGTTCTATCAGCAGACACACACACACACACACACGTATGCACACACACACAAAAAAAATAGGATATGAGCAAGATTAGAGTTTGCATAACTGACCAGATTTACTTTATTGAAACTGCAACTTGTTATATCAGTGAATGTACGGCATTGTAAAGTTTCATCTGCGTAACATCCATCTGTAAGTATAAACCGCTTTAATGGAGGAACCTGTAGATGTTTCATTTAGAGATTTTACTGACGATCACTAATAATCAATAATTCATGAGACAAGAGACCTCCAGCATTATGTGTAAGAGTCTGATCTCAAGACAAGACACACTGGAAGGACTGAAGACGAAAGTGAAAAATCAACATGAGACAATCTCTGACAATAAAAGTAGCTGCAAGAAAGAGAGCTACAAAAGATGTAAGAAAAAGCAAAGCTGACAGGTAGAGCTGCACTGATTGCTGTTTTCTGGCATTTTGTCGATTATGCCAATTACAATTTTGACTGAAAACGTTTTTTTCTTGTGGGATGATTATTGTTAATGTGGTGGGTGGTTCTGTCAGTCAAACTTCCCTCACAGCAGAGCAAAAGTGAACAGTGGTTGAGTTTTAGACCTCTCCTGAGGTAAATGAGATCGGTGGATAAGATCAGCTTCACATGCAAGGATCGGCCAATTGCTGATCTCCAAAAATTAGGGAAATAACTATTATTTTGGTGGACATGTTGGATCCTGCAAAGTTATGAGCTTTATTTTTTTTTTAGCATTGATTAAGTAATTTTATTTAGTGATGCAATGCCTATAAAAAAGTAATTGTCTTGCATAACCAGGCTAACAACTGAAGTTAAATCTAATCAGAAAGCACCAAATACACCCACCAGAGATGAACACAACATTTAAGCATGGCAATCAAGCTCATTTCTTAACTCACACCAGGTATCCGACAACAGCAGAGTTTGAAAAAGGAAATCGCATTATTCAGCCATTGACTGTCAAATGTGTAGTTGAAGAACAAGTCCTTAGACATCAATGTTTGTGAGATTAATAACATTTCTAGCTCTCAGTCAGTGACTTTTAAGGAACAATCTATTGTACGACTTCACTTTCTGGTCCGAAAAGCATCACTTCAAGCAAACACTTCTTGGCAGGTCTGTTCACTAATTATTTATCATCCAAGTAAGCACTTTTACAAACTCCTCTTCTCTTGAAAAAAACAAAAAAAAAAACAAACCTGTTCCTAATAAGAGCCTAAACGCCTTAGTGTTGTTAAATATTTCTGAATATGTTGCGACTGACAAGTTCCAACAAGCACTGGCTCTAAAAACAGAGAAAACATTGAGTGAAATGAAGTCTCAAGACCTCGAAATAACACACTAATCTGTAAATGACACCAACATTAATAAATATGTAATTAATGTTGTCATATCGTTTACCGTCATAATATGTCATTCTGGAAATCTAGGTATTCTGCACGCAGTCAGAATGTGACTGCATGAAGTTTTTTAAAGTAAAAAGATGACATTTTCAAACTTTATATCTCATCTTTTTATCTGATTTCAAGCTGAAATGTTTACTAAATGATGTCCTTCCCTGCAGGTGTTTTGGTTACTAAATCTGTTTTTTCATATTATTTCAATGCCACCTTCTTTTGATATCTAAAATGTTGCCCTTTGATGTATTTCAAAGCTTTTAGTGATGCTGCATGAGAAAACTGGGTCATTTCTTACCAGCCCCTCTATTGTTGACATGAAGTTCAAAACTAGATGGTAATTTATACATTCTTGGCTGCAAATATTTTGGTCTTTGTAAACACCAGACAAACATTTCGCTTACGTTAACAAAACTTCCTTAAGTGATGCTAGTGCTTACATTTTCTCTCCATAGAGAAATAAAAAAAAATAAAAATAAATTAAAAAAATAAAGGAACATTTGCATCTTCACATTTTAACACACAAGACTGGCATGCCATATTGACTTTGTCAAATAGTCACTGTATTATAATCCAAGTTGCTTTCTGCAGAAACAATCAGTGTAATGTAATTTAAAATAAAGTTTATGAAAGTCGGTTTGTGTGCTTTGTGTTGACCGAGCGGCAAAACGACTGTCGTAAAAACCGGTGCCTTGTTGCTTTGCTTCGTGTAGAGGATCTGGACCGTTGGCTAATGAAAAGCGATTGTTTGCTGGGGACATGGACTCTGTTGAAGTTTTAAAAGAGTGGATCTGATTTTACCCAATCAATAACGTCTGGCTGTGATGTATACAATGCACCAACTAGACCGTGAAGGAAGCCACTCGGTGAAGATTACCGGACGTTGTGTGTGTTGTGAACAACATGCTCCACGGTAAAAACTGAAGAGCCTAGCCAAACGACATCCTTGTTCGCAACTCCTCCATCTGTTCGCTGATTGGCCCGATTTAAATTTAACCGGAGAAATCAAGATCAATAAGTTGCAGTGGAAGGAGATGAGAATCAATAGGAATTTAGGAAGGCTGTGTAAAATTACTCCATCTACCCTTAAGTATAGTTTATCTCCAACTTGGCATTGTATTGCTGTTAGCTGTTTTCTGTTTGTTTTGCTATTTTGTTGCAAATCCTCATATTATCAAGATCATTCAGGAAATTCACCAGCAATAAAACACACAGGATCTATTTGTGTAGAGGACAAAGACTAAAGGCAAGATTTCATTGGTGGATCTTGGGCAGATGG